CATTTAACGCACTTTAATCAAAAATACTATTCATGCTAAAATATTTTTATAGAAAAAAACACCAAAAATTCGAAATAAATGTTAACATAGTAACAAATCAATAATAATCTAATTAATTATGATAATAATAATGATAGTGATAATAATAATAATGAAACCGATAATGATAATATTAATAATGATTACAATAATATTTATAATAATAATAATTATAACAATAGTAATAATGCTAATAAACAAGAATAACAATAATAAAAATAATAATCAAGAATAATAATAATAATAATATTCAAGACTAATATAATAATACTTTAATTACAATACAATAATAATTTAATTTACGTTCGAAACCGAAGGTTATGAATTATTTATAATAAATAAATAAATAAAAAAATATTATCATAATTGTTTGAACGTTAGTTTTAAATGAAAACAAAATAAATGAAATATTTTTTATTAAAAACATTTTCATTAATTACTGATTACGATAAAAATCAAAAACCCAAATTTTACATTTTAGGAACTTTATAATTAATTATTTTTGATACTGACGAAAAAAAAATCTAACTTGAAGAAGAAATAAATAAAAATTTCATTTATTTGAACGTTCAAAACTTTAGGATCATAATAAAAAATCATAATAAAAATTCAGCATCATAATAAAAAATAGTTTGAAAAAATGTACTACAATATCACTAAAATGTGGATTTATTAAAAGTAATTATATTAAATATTAATAATATTTATTTATAATAAAAGATATCTTTATTAGTGTTAATAAAAAACGACTTAAATATAAAAAAAGGAAAAATAATAGATATATAGAAACAAATGCATTTAATATATTTATATATTAGATGCATTTGTTCCTTTATCTATATTATTGTCATTTTCATATTTTTTGAACGTGAAATCTTTAAATTTACAAAATGCTTTCCATCTAAGGCATTTTATCTGTTTTGTTCAGTGGAAGTGCTGCGTCTTCCATTTTTAAAATTAAATTTTCACGATCCATAAAAAGTCTACAGAACAAAAACAACGAAAAAATATATTCCAAGTTTGAAAACTATAAGCTAAACTGGTTATATTTTTATAAAACACACGTGAGTAATTTTAAGAAAATTTTAATAATTTTTGACAGCACTCTAGAGAGGGGGGTGAAAGGAAACTTTTCCCACATTAAATTTTGTAGAATTTTATTTAAAAAATAATAATAGAAAAAAGTTATCACATATTCATATCATTATTATTTTTCTTTTTTTTTGAAGTCGGAAATCCACTGATTATTTTTATTATTCCTATTTTATATTATTTTTATATTTATTATTATTCAGTACCCAACTAAAAAATACGACTTTTAAAGAATAAATAATAAACGAATACTTTCAATGCTTTCAAAGCGATCTGAGTTCAAATTCGATATTATTCATCATTAAATATTATTTTTTTAAGAATAATTTTTCTCCACTATTTCGAGCTTGTATAACATAATAATTAAAATACATGGAAAATTTTTTATTTTTCCTATATTTCTTTATGTAATTTTTCCTATAGAAACAAGTATTAAAGTACATTTTGTTTCTTTGACGTTTGAAAGAATGCGGAAAGTATACTTTGTTTGCCGAACTTGGACTACATCCCCTTTAACTGACCCCTGCATATGAAAGATAACAAAAAAAAATCTTGTGTTTGGATTATTGTTAAGTCAATTTGATTTTTCCATCTCCATATATATAGAAAAATGACTGAATAACGAATAAAACTTTTCTCAGTTATATGTTATATAGAATATATATATATATATAGTGACAAACACAAACATTTAAAAAATTTTATAACTCTTATTTCTATATTTATGTATGCACAGTGTTCATATTTTTATTTTACAATACAGAAGATAATTTTTTATTGCAAAGAATGCAAATATTTTTACTCAATTATTTATAATTGTAATTCTAATTATTATTATTATTATTAATTTTTTTTTATTTTTCGTTTTGACTTATGTAGAAATATTTAATAAATTAAATTATTATTATTTACTATTACTTTTATTATTATTATTATTATTAATATTATTATTATCATTGTTAGTATTATTATTATTATCATCATTATTACCCATGTGACGAACTCCGAAGAAAGGTACCTAAGAAGCAAATCATTTTAAGGTTATGTTTGTGTTATGTTTACCTTAATTAAAAATTTATGTATCTAATTTCAAACTAAATTCAGTTTTTATTAATTATTTTAGATATAATGAAGACTTAAACGTCATTAATTTATATTGAAAGTTAATCCTTTTTGTGCATTTTCATTCCAAAAATTACAAACATAACCTAAAACTTTTTTTTTAAGTACTTTATTCTACGGAGCAAATCCTCTAATTTATTATTGTTATTATTATTTATAAATAGAAAATTAAACAGAAAAACTATAGTTAGATATAAAATATAAAAAAAAACTAATACGCAAGATGGAAAAATTTTGTTAATGTAATATTTCAGTGGAAAAAGCCCATTTTCATTTCCATTTTTGCTCTCATTATTTATATCTAGAAATAAAGTTTCTAGAGCTTTTATACAATATATATAATATGTATATAGTTATTGAGAAATCAATATGCCTGTGCATTAAAAATTTTGTTTCAAAATCTCAGACTCCATTATAATATAAAATGTTCTGTTAAAAGCTGAAACCAAAAAAGAAAAAAAAGTTTATTAAATCTTTTTCAAGCTCTTAAGTCATTCTCATTTATTCGACACATATATTTAAATGAGTATCTCTCCATTTTTAACATTATTCACTGCATTTCCAATATCATATTCCCATCAATTATTCGATTCAAGTATATTTCCATCAATTATTCCAAATCCGAATTTCCATTAAATAATATTTAAAAATATGCAGTCAGACATTTGGAAATGGGGGGGAAACATCAATATTGAAGTGAAACTTTCAACACCGTTAATATCGAAATCATTTTTCAAAAAAGGAAATACTCCCTCCGTGAGGAAGCAAAAACAAACAAAAATATACGACAAATTAAACAGTATAATTAAAAAAATCAGTTCTCAATTTATCAATTCAGGAAATGAGGAAAAGAAAATAAATAATAATTTGACGCGTAGCGAAGAAAGCGACCTAAAAAGCAAAATCTTAAAGGTTATGTTTGTTATGTTTCAAGTAAAAAATGCAAAAAGTGGGTCAACTCTCAATTCAAACTAATTGTTTAATTCTTTATTACATTTGAAATATTCAATAGGAATTATTTTTCATTTTGCAAACTTGAAAAGAATCCTTTATTCAAGATAAAATGATAACAAACATAACCTATAAGATTTTGCTTCTTACTCTCTAGCCATAAATTAGTAGAATTTTTACTAATTCAATCAGTAGATTTGGTTTTTTTTACATTTTTTTACATTTATTTTTAACTAATGAATCTGTTAATTTTTGCAAAATTACTTATCCAATCAGTGAATGTACTTTGTTGTCAAAGAAAAACAAACATAACCTTTAAAATTAACTAATAAATTAGTAAACTTGACGATAAATGTAATTTTTTTATGCAATTCATTGAATACTGATTATTTTACTAATTGAAACAGTAAATTTTTACTAATTATCAATAACTCAGTTCTGGCTATAACAATCAATAGAATTTTACTGATAATTAGTCACTGTTAACTTAAAAATATCAAATTGCAACGAATTGATACTTTCTAGAAAACTGTGAAGTGAACAAATTCCTTCTTTGAACGTAAAACTTATGATTATGAACCAAATGATTAATTAAATCAAAAAAATATTATTTTACAAATATTGAAAATATTATTAACGTTAAGCAAACATTGTCTAAAATAACCTAAAACTTACTTTTATACAACAACATAAAATTTTTCCCTCAGTGAAGAGAAGAGAAAATAAACAAAACATTAAACATGAAAAAGGAGAACAAGAGAATAAAAATATAAATTAACCCAAAACATTCTCTTCAAGAAAAGCCAAAATTAAGAGAAATTAGGAAAAGGAGAAAAATAACTAACAAACACAATGCCTTCTCATTATGACTGAAAATGTAGAAAATAAAAAAAAAAGTGAAAAAGTAGAAAATAAAAGAAATGAGAATTTACAAAAAACAGAAGAAATGAGCATCTAGAAAACAGAAGAAATGAAAATTTAAAAAACCGAAGAAAAGAGCCTGCAGAAAACAGAAAAAAATAAGAACAAAAAGAAAAACTGGAAAAATACCAAGGAAAGAAACATGAAAAATGACAATGAAAAAGGCGACGAAAAAAAATTACTAAATACCATTTCGAGAGAATAATTTGTCAGTCACTACATATCACAACATAACCTAAGTAGAAGCTTACGACCTGCAACCCCCTGAATGACGTAACCTCCCTCCAAAAAAATAATGATTCCCTGCAGAGTCTGAAACTTTCAGGATTCAAAAATATACTTTTCCCTCCGACTTTTCCCTATATATTGATGACACATTTTCTTTTAGGGTAGGGTGATTGAAGCGTGCAAGACTTTCCAGCTGAATTGAGTATGCTTCTCCATACACACTCACACACACACACACATACACTTGCACACATACACACGCACCCTACTCCAATAGCAAAAGCACGTTGGTAACCGATGCGTGAGTGGTGCAACGACGTCACACACATTCTCCAAATTCAAAACTTAAATGAATTACGCCTAATCCAAACGTCACGCGACCTTTGACCTCGTGAAAACTACGTTGCTGGTGCACCTGAGCGTGAGGAGAGACTCGACGAGATCGATGAAACCTGCGGGAAACTAACCTTCGCGTGGAGTTTGTGTATATATCGTAACAGGGAAGAAAACAAAACTCACCCGGCCTTGGTTTTTTTTCCATCTAAAACCCTGAATAAAATCAGGGTTTCGCTCAAAAAATAAAAATTCAACATTTAGAGAAAACAAAAATTTTCTACCAACAGTGAAATATTAAGTCATTCACTCACCTGGTGATCAAAAAGTGCGATGAAATCTCACAACGGCAAGCAAGTGACGAAAACCGGTTAAAAGCTGCGATAGAGTATTTTTTTTCTTTTTTTCAAAAATTTCCTCGTTACTTTTGATGTGTCGTCTTCTCCTCTCTCTCCCGCGTCTTTATGCTCGGCTGACCGCTGGTCTGTTGGCTCTGTGACGGAGACAGAGGGACAGAGAGAGAGAGAGAGAAAGGAAGGAAGAGAAAAAGAACGTGTGTGTTAGTGTGCGAGCTCGAAGTCTCGTGGCAAACGGTCGTGGACTGAGTGAACCCGAGTTCAGACTGAGGGAGAACGCTGGCGGTGTTTCCGAGGCGCCGGTGGCGCCGTGGGGACGATCGATTTGTTTGCGGGGGGTTAGGAGTTACCGTGAGCTTGCAGAGAGAGAGAGTGAGAAGGGGTGCAACAGAGGAGAACGAGGGTGGTAAAGCTCTACTGCTGCTCAGGTGGGAGACAGTGAGCGTGCGTGTCTATGTATGTGTGGCAGAACCAAGCCAGCAGCGACGAGGAGAACTGTTTGGCGCCGATGAAGGCGGGGCATATCAAATCCCCCCCCTCCTTTGCCATGTGCCTCTCCCCTTCTCTTTCTCGCTTCAACTCATTTCCATCTGAGACACACGAGTGCTGCTGTTTCATTCTATCTTATGTACTCTTTTTCTCTCCTGTAGCCTCTTTCTCCTATACACTTTTCCAACTATACTCCTTTTCTCCTACACTTTTATTCCCTTGTGCTCCTTTTCTCTTACACTTTTATTCTCTTGAACTTCTTTTCTCCAACAATTTTATTCCCTTGTGCTCATGTTCTCCTACACTCTTAATCTCTTGAACTTCTTTTCTCCTACACTCTTATTCTATTTTACTTCTTTTCTCTTACAATTTTATTCCCTTGTGATCCTTTGCTCCTACACTCTTCTTATCTTGAACTTCTTTTCTCCTACACTCTTATTCTCCTGTACTCTTATTACCTTGAACTTCTTTTCTCCTACACTCTTATTGTCTTGAACTTCTTTTCTCCTACACTTTTATTCCCTTGTGCTCTTTTTCTCCTACACTTTTATTCTCTTGAACTTCTTTTCTCCAACAATTTTATTCCCTTGTGCTCCTGTTCTCCTACACTCTAAATCTCTTGATCTTCTTTTCTCCTACACTCTTAATTTCTTGAACTTCTTTTCTTCTACAATTTTATTCCCTTGTGATCCTTTTCTCCTACACTCTTATTCTCATGTACTCTTATTACCTTGAACTTCTTTTCTCCTACACTTTTATTCCCTTGTGCTCCTTTTCTCCTACACTTTTATTCTCTTGAACTTCTTTTCTCCAACAATTTTATTCCCTTGTGCTCCTGTTCTCCTACACTCTGAATCTCTTGATCTTCTTTTCTCCTACACTCTTAATTTCTTGAACTTCTTTTCTCCTACAATTTTATTTCCTTGTGATCCTTTGCTCCTACACTCTTATTATCTTGAACTTCTTTCCTCCTACACTCTTATTCTCTTGAACTTCTTTTCTCCTACAATTTTATTCCCTTGTGATCCTTTGCTCCTACACTCTTATTTTCCTGTACTCTTATTATCTTGAACTTCTTTTCTCCTACACTCTTATTCCCTTGTACTCCTTTTCTCCTAAACTCTTTCTCTTTTATACTTCTTTTTTCCTATACGGTTTCTATCTGTTCTATAAATTTTTCTCTTATACTTTTTATATTCCAACTTCTTTTCTCCCCTATACACTTTTCTATCCTATACTCCTTTTGTCCTATACTTTTTCTATCTTTTACTCCGTTTCTATAATGTGTTTCTGCTATACTTTTTATATCCTGAATTCTTTTCTCCTACATTCTTTCTCCCCCACAAAAATTGTCTCCTACATTCTCCTTGTATGTTCTTGTCTCTTCTCCTTGATTCGTTCTATCCTTTACTCCTTCTTTCTTATAATTTTTTTCACTTAAAACTTTTTGTATTCCAAACTATTTTGTCCCACACTCTTTACCATTATATTTATCATTTTTATATCCTAAACTCTTTTCTTCCAACTTTTTTCTCTTACATTCTTATTCTCCTACACTCTTTCAATCCTTCACTCCTTCTCTGCTATAATCTTTTCCCCTTATCAGGATTGCTACAAATATTTTATTATATTTTTCCCTGACTTTCCTTGATTTCCAGACAAAATTTTCACTCTTTCCCTGACCCTAAAGAATATTCTGATTCACTCTAAAAATTATTAGATACAACAACTTCTTTTCTAATTGAATATTTAATTATTAGGTATACTCGGAGTGATGGCCTTCTTCATGTTTTGTGATAATTTAAATTACCTACCATAAAATTTTTCAAAAAGAAGTTAATTATTTACAAAAATCCTAATAAAATCCTTCGCAAGAATTCAATTATTTAAAAAAAAATGTAATAAAATTCGTTGCAAGAATTCAATTATTTTTATAAATAATAAATCAATTATTCAGTAATTCATTTTTAAATCAATTTTTATTAGAAAATTCTAAAAGAATTCATTTATTTAAATTAAAAAATAAATAATTTATCGAATAATTGAACATGTTTGTTAAAATTGAATTCTCATAAAGAATTTTATCAACAAATTTTAAAATAATTGAATTCTTTTGACAAATTTTAATAAAAATTTTAAGAATAAATACATTTTTTGAAGAATTCGATTAAAATTGTATCAAAAAGTAATTAAAATCCTGCGATGAGTTTTAATATTTGTGAAAATAATTGAATTATTTCGGAGAAATTTATTAAAAATTTTGCAAATAATTGAATTCCTGTGAAATTTTGACAAGAATTTTATTAAAATTTTTAAAAATAATTTAATTTTGAAGAAGAATTTTATTATTTATAAAGATAATTGAATTTTTTTTTTAATTTTTGAACATAATTGAAATTCTGCGAAGAATTTTTTATAACTTTTGAAAATAATTGAATTTCTATAGAATCATTTGTAACTTTTTCAAAATTCAATTTTTTTTAGTATTTTTAACAAAAATTCTTCTATTAATCTTGTATTTATGCAGATTGTAAAAATTATTCACTAAATAATTTATAAGTATTAACTTTATGATAGTTGTTCAAGATTTAAGTTATTTAAAAAGAAACTATTGTCAGAAATAGAAAAAATTTAAGGTTTTGTATTAGAATTCTTGGCAAATTTCATAGTTTGTGAGGCAAACAAAAAACCGCTGCCAAGTTGTACATTTTTATAATTTTGGTGTTCATTCCATGAACACTTTGCTTCCTCATAAAAATAATAATAATTGAAATATAAGAATTACTTTTTATAAAAGGGTTAAAAATCATTAAATCTTGGTCTAAAAATGTGTTTTTATATATTCTATAGGATGGTAATAATAGTTTAGTAATTACACATAAGTTAATAAACAAGATTGTCGAAAAAATGATATTTTCCACAATTCTTGATTTTTCAAATACCAATAATTTCATAATTTCTGCCCGAATCAGGTTAAAAAGTAGGTCAATCGAAGCGTTTTTTAATGCTCTTCAAGTTGGTAATAATTTTTTAAAGTTATACTTTTACATAATTTAAAAAATTTTTTATAAAAGTCTTATTTTTCAAAATTTTAGATTTTTAAAAGTTTAATATCTCCGGTTAATATGGACGAAAAATGTTCAATTGGGGCTCAAAAGATGCGTCTGAAAAAACTCTACAAAACTAAATACAAAACAAAACTTCTACATTTCTCAACAAAATTTTCAAAAAAGTCTTATTTTCTAAAATGTTTGATTTTTTAAAGTTTAATATTTCCGGTTAATATGAACGAAAAATATTCAATTAGGGCTCAAAAGATGCGTGTGAAAAAACTCTACAAAACTAAAGAAAAACATTTATAAGTGTCCTAACATTTTTTTAAGTTACGTCCAAAAAACGTTTTTTTACAAAATGAAAAATGCAAAAAAAAATAGTTAAACTTCATGAATCGGGCTGAAAATACTCTCATTTTATGTCCCCCGGAGAGACCTACAATTTAAAAAAAAATTGAGGCCTTTAGCTCTTTCTTGTTCTGAGATATTGAGGCAAATGTAATGTTAGTACACACACACACACACACACATCGGGACAAATTTTTAAAATCCGTTTTTTGGACTTCGGAGTTCAAAATACGTCGAAATTTTTTTTATTTATTTATAACATTTATACAGGGAGTTCCTGTGCATATATAAAGTACTAAAGTATTAGGCATAATAAAAAAAAATTTATAAATATGTCGAAAAATGACAATCCAAAATTTTGCTAATACAAAGCTTCCTTTACGAGGAAGCAAAAGACACAAAAATTCCGAATTTTCTTATAAATTCTAAAAATTTAATATTTTCCAGGACTTTTAATAAAAATCCTTGACTTTTCCCTGATTTCCCTGACCAATTTTACTTTCCCTGACTTTTCCCTGAATTCCCTGACCTGTGGCAACCCTGCTTATACTTTTTGCATCCTTAAATATTTTATCCTTCTTCTTTCTTTTAATTTTTTTTTATCTACTTTTTGCTGCCGAAAATCTTTTCTCCTAAACTCTTTCTATCCTATACTCATAATCCTCTATTTTATCCTTTTATCTCCTCCTGTACTCCTTCTCTCCTACACTCTTTCTCTAGAAAGAAAAAGAATATGTTTCTCTCTCTTGAATGGAAGGAGAAAATATATTTCTTTCTTTCTCTTACTCACAGAGACATTTTGAATAGTAATAGTAAAAAGAAAGAGAAGAGAGAAGAGGAAGAGAAAATTCGAAAAGGGAAGAAAATAAGAAGGGGAAAAGAAAAAAGGGAAAGTGTGAAGAAAAGAAGAGAAGAGGAAGAGGAAGAGAGAAGGAATGAAGGAGACGAAAGAAGAAGAAAAGTGAGGGGGGAGAAAAAAGGGAAAAGAGAAGAGAAAAACAAGGAGAAAAGAAAAATAGAATGCAAAGAGAAAAAAGAGAAGAGAAAGAGTAATGAGAAAAAAGAAGAAGAAGAGAAAATGGTAAAAGAAAAGAAAAACAGAAGGAGAAAATAAAAATAGAAGGAAAGAGAAAAGGTGAAAATAGGAAGAAAAAGGCGAAAAAGAAAAAGAAAGAGAGAAGGGGAAGAAAGAAGAGAAAAAGTGAAAGGAAAAAAAGAAGGAAAAGACGAAAGAATGAAGAGAACGAGAGAAAGAGAGGAGAGAAGAGAACTGTCGCATCTACAACACCCCCCTCCCCCCACAGTGCACCAGGAATCCACCCCCCAACCCCCTTCCTCAAGTTGAAAGGGCTTGACAAGAGAGTTGAGGGAATGCGGGAGGAGTTGAC